TCATGTCCACAAGCCAGGAAAGACGGAAGCCACAGATCAAGGCTCGCTTCCAGTGGTTGGCAGCTCTGGTTTGAAAACACACACTGGATGGGGGAAGACAATGCTGAAATGAGGTCTGGTGATCGCTTTCCAATTATCTAGGCTTTACACAAAATCACATGAGCCCTAATGACCGAGAGGGATCACGAGCATGCGGAATTCAGCCGGGAGCCAGGACCGTAACCACGAGCTCCCACGCTTCACGAAGGGGTTCCAGCAGGACATAGGGCATCGCCGGTGTGGGTGGAGGGCAGCCCTGTGGGAGCACAGGGCGGTCCCTCCGAGTCCCCAGACGAAGCCCAGCCATCCAGCCGAGGCCACTTCCTCGGGAGAGACTGCTCCGGGCCCCCCTTAGGTTACATGTCCTCAGAGTCCTTTGGCTTCTCACATGAAGCCCTGTTTTCTCTTATGATTTATTATTATGTGTCTAATATTATATGTGATTAATACCCTCCTTTGGTACCAGACGGAAAGCCCTGCGAAACCTGGGATGGCTTCCAGTTTGTCCCTCCCTGGCACCTAGTACAGAGCCTGGCTGGTCCCAGGTGCTCAGCTGATGTGAATGAAAATAAAGTGAAGGTAGAGCCAGCAGGTCCCAGGCTGTGCTGAGCGACAACCAGCTCAGCAACCGAGCTCTACCCTGGCATTTTTATAACAAACTTCCAAAAAGTCGGTATTAAACATCCAAATGGCACTGGACTTCATCCTTGCAGATAACTGCACACCCAAATTATAGAATAATTCATAACAAGGAATAATATTATTTACTTGATATTACAGTAACTAATACTATTATTCCATAATAACCAATTATGAAATCTTCATAGTGAGGAACAGCAACGTCTACATCGAAGAGGAGAGGAAGAAGCAGAGCAACCACATCGTGGACCTGGAGCATCTAACTTAGGTAAACAGAACAATCTAAGCTCTGCAAACAAGCAAACAGACAGCCCCCTCCCCCCAAACCCAGCACCGTCAAGTGACAAACCGGCCACTTCGCACACATTTTCCTCGAGGGCATTTGACTCGAGAGGGAGGAAGCAGACCTGCCCTCAGTGGGTTCAAGCAGCCTCTCACCTTCTGTTCGACTGGTTCTTTCCTAGGACATGGCCCAGAAATACAAGTGATCTAACTGCCTGTTACTCAACTGAAAAAAAACAGAAAAAAAAATACACAACGATTTTTCCCAAGATGGCAGGAAAAACTGGCCACACTGGACTTAGCAGTAGGTTGTCCTGGGTCCAGCACGGCCCCTGCCTCAAAACTTCTCAGAGGTAATTTGTTTTTCCTACAGAGAAGATACTCTTTATTGGAATTTCACAGGCACAGGGACACCCTTGAGGAATCAGCTCCTTCACATAAACAAAATCTACGTGCTGGGAGGTGACCTGTGGCAGGCACAGGACGGACTGTGGCCTCGGTGCCGCCCAGTGGGGAGCACGCTAGGCAGGCCCCCCAGTGCCCTTTCTAGAAATGGGTAGGAAATTATCCATTTCTCTGATCATTTCCCAGTGAACGAGGAAAGAGCGTGTTGTGTTTCCTAGGAAACTAGATCATAGCAGTTGTGGATACATGATTGGGAGTCAGAATGAAACCTTAGATTTGCTCATTAGCAGCTGTGCAATCTTGAGCGAGAAATGACCTCTCTGTGTTGGTTTCATCATCTATAAAATGGGAATAATAATAAACATCCCTTTCATAAATGTATCAAAAGGATTAAATAAAATGGTATCTGGAATATGAGAAAAACCCTACTCTTGGTACCTAGAGGGTACAGAATAACTGATAATAACAGGAATAGTCGTTGTGCTTAAACATAAGAAAAGACACTATAAACCTCCTAGAAGAAAAGTAGGCATAACGTTCTCTAACATACATCTCTGCAATGCTCTCCCAGTGCAGCCTACCCAGGCAATAGAAATAAAAGCAAAAATAAATAAATGGGACCTAACTAAACTTACAAACTTTTGCACAACAAAGGAAACCAGGAGCAAAACAAAAAGACAACCTACGGAATGGCAGAAAATATTTGCAAACGATGAGGCTGCCAAGGGCTTAATTTCCAGAATATACAAACAGCTCATACAACTCAATAACAAAAAAACAAACAACCCAATCCCAAAATGGGCAGAAGACCTAAACAAGCATTTCTCCAACGAAGGCATAAGATGGCCAATAGGCACATGAAAAATGCTCAATATCATTAATTATCAGGGAAATGCAAATCAAAACTAGGAGGTATCACCTCACAGCAGTCAGAATGGCCATCAATCAAAAGTCCACAAATGACAAATGCTGGGAAGAGTGTGGAGAAAAGGGAACCCTCCTACACTGTTGGCAATGTAGTTGAGTGCAGCCTTTATGGAAAACAGTATGGAGATTCCTCAAAAAAATAAAGATAAACTTACCCTATGATCCAGCAATCCCACTCCTGGGCATATATCCAGAGGGAACTCTAATTCAAAAAGACACATGCACCCCAGTGTTTGTAGCAACACCATTTACAATAGTCTAGACATGGAAGCAACCTAAATGTCCATCAACACATAACTGAATAAAAAAGTTGTGATATATTTATACAACGGAATACTACTCAGTCATAAAAAAGAATGAAATAATGCCATCTGCAGCAACATGGATGGACCTACAGATCGTCATACTAAGTGAAGTAAGCCAGAAAGAGAAAGAAAAATACAATATAAAATTGCTCATATGTGGAACCTAAAGAAAAGGATGCAAATGAATTTATTTACAAAACAGATACAGACTCACAGACCTACAGAGAACAAACTTACAGTTACCAGGGGTGGGGGGGGGGAAGGGGATGGGGATAGATAAACTGGGAGTTTTGAATTTGCAGATACACACTACTGTATATAAAGCAGATAAACAACAAGGACTTACTGTACAGCACAGGGAACTATATTCAATGCCTTATAATGGCCTATAATGAAAAAGAATACGAAAAGGAACATATATATACATGTATAACTGAATCACTATGCTGTGCACCAGAAACTGACACAACACTGTAAGCCAACTCTACTTCAATTTTAAAAACTCCTTTGCCATAAAAGTTATTATTATTGCTAGTGATACCACTAATCCTGTATCACAATCATCATCATCATAAGAGCATTATCTCCAAGGCCATTCCGACTCTACCCCATTTTCCCCTTTTGCTTGAACTTTAAAATCTAACTACTCTGTGAGCTTAGCCCCTCTGCACTTCCTGAGCATAAGGTGGTAATTATGGACTAGCCAATATTCAGGCTGATGCAGGCAGTGCCTTGGGTTAAGGGGGGGGTTTGGGTTCATCCCTTTGACCAGGATGAAATGAGCATCTCAGCATAAGACAGGCTCCAGGAACCAGAGATGAGTCAGGAGCCTGGCGGGTTAGTGCCTGGGAGACAGGATGCTTGGGGGGGCGCAGGGGGGCCTCCTGTGCCTCTGGTGGCGGACGTTACACAGCTTTGATTGGAGTCGAGTCAGCGGGTTACAGAGACAAATACATTCACAAAGCTTAACTATTAGGACTGGGAATCGAGACCATCTGTGTCAACACAACGTAACGATTTCTTCCAGGAAGTGATTGTAAACCAACAAATAACTTCGCTGTTCACGGCAGGAAATTCCTACAAAGCAGTCGATCCTGGCAAACAGTCTTCTCACCTGGGAACACAGCTTAAGAATGGTTCACTCGCCAAGACCCCTTACAGACCCTTAGCTTGCTGTACCCACCAGTCCTCAACTATATTATGTCACAAACTCAGCTGAAACCCAGGTAATTCTCTGTCTGGAAAAATGCAGCTTAAAGGATTTGGGTCTGGACCTCTAGACCCTACAAATATGCCTCCTGGCCTCCTCCTGCGCAGACACAACAGGCCCGCGTGCTGGCAATGTCGTCCTTGACCGCAGTTGCCAGCATGAACTTGGCTTTGCTTTACCAACCAGCTCTTCCCATGGAATCTGTGGAGCCCGGAACTGACACAGTAAGTCAGGTTTGGGCTCCTGGAAACAGGAAGCACGTAAATGTGAGTTCGTGTGTACTTGCCGCCCAGCAAGGCGGGGCAGTTAGTAAACACCGTCAGTTTCCCTCAGCGATAAGGTTCAGAGGCCCCGATTTCATCGCTCCTTTGAGGAAATGACCTGGAGTTCGAACACCTGCCGGCGACAGGTGCAAATGCACACTTTACCTCCATGTCTCTCCTCTTCTATGTGACTCGGTAGTTTCCAAATGTTCAACAACGAGTCTGCATTATTTTGAGGGTGAGTGAGAGGACACAAAGCAAAGGCCCTAAGAAGAAGACTAATTCCCAAGTGCACAGCAGACATGCTCGCCCAGTCTGGATTTCAACCACATACACACGCGGGGGACGGAAAACACCCGCTGAGAAGCTCGTCACGCGCGCCAGGCGCCCCGCGGACATCAGCCCGCGCACAGACACGCAGCACAGTTTTCACCAAGCTCCTCAGTTCTCTGCAGCCTGATCGTGGGAGGAGTTTGATAAAACACACAGGCAAAAACACCCAGTCCGTCTAGGGCGAGGCCCAGGAATAATGTGCAGGTCTCTCTTTTTTTCAATGAGCCCTTAAGTGACTCACACACTCAAGCCAAGTGTGAAGCACAGGCACCTACACAGATTCACCCCAATGCCAAGTCCACTCCCGTCAAAAACCACCGGCTGAAAAAGGACCTGCTGAGCAGCTGACAAAGAGAGGTGGCTGCGATCGTCTCACAGAGGGTGGCATCTCCAGGTGCCCGGGTCCTGGGCTGTGAAGCACTGACTCACAGAAGCCCCCACCTACTGGGAAACCCGAGAGCAGCGCACAGCTGGGCTCGGGCAAGTCTCCCGGCCAGGCTTCTCCCTGCCGCTGTCCGCAGCATCCACAGCTCTCGGGGCAGCTGGGCACAGGGGGCAAGCTGCCCGTGAGCCACCCCAACCGAGGCTTCCTTTTACCTTAAAGAAACTTCCTCGCTTGTCCAGACTGCGGGCGCCCATGGTCCAAGCCGACATCTCCCCAGCAGGGCTCCACAGCACGCCTGGGACTCCTGAAGGTAGAGACATTTTAAATGGTTAGTCCAGCCTGTAGGAAATTCCTTTCTAAGCCACAGAACACTCACAACAACAGTCCTGCCAAGATCTTTTTCCATCAACCACTGAATGCCACTGTATTTCCCACCCAAGCCTTCCATCTCCTTTCAGGCCCATTTCCTGTCTCGGGCGGCACGGTTCCTAGACTGTGCCCCACCTCACGGCCCTACCACCCGCTTTTCCAGCTGACGCAGGTCTCCGGGCCTGCAGAAAGCAGAGCGATTGCTTTGTGTGTTTGCTTGACCTCACGCTCAAGTCCCAAAGGGACAACTTTAGATGTCACTGTAATCTGCTCCAAAGCTCATGGACTTAATGTGGCTGATTACAGAGGGGTGGCGGAAGAATGAGGCCCTGCAGGTCCCAGGAAATCCTGCAAGAATGGGATGAGGTCATTATTAGCCATGCCAGCCCTCTCCCCCCAGGCAAGGTCAACACAAGGGCGCTGGCAATCAATCCCTGTTTTCTCTTTAGAAATCAAAGCCTGGAATGAAACCCTGTGTTCCTGTTTACAGAGATCAGTTTGTGTAAGAAACAGTGTGTAAACAGCTCCACGATGGCCCATGGAGGGGGGTGGACTTTGGAACGTGGAGGGGAATTTAAGGGCCTGATAGGATTCTGAATCATAACCATGGCTATTTGGGCCTGGAATTTCCCTCACTCGAGTCTCAAACCCAATAATCGTCCCTCTTGGCTACAACACCTTCAATGTCCTCTTCTGAGAAAAACACACGCACACCCAGGCAGCTGGCCTCGCCCTGCCCAGCGTGCCTGGAGGATGCGTCGGGGAGCGACCCGGAACCGTCCTCCAGGACCAAGAGTAATTATAAAACTGCCCTCCTGGCCACACAGCATGCGCGATGTAGCTGGTCCAATCCTGACCAGCACAGTGCAAGGACAAACAAGGAAACATGAAAGGAAAACACATCTGGGGACATTAAAAGGGGTTCAGCTGCAGGGATGGGGCGGGAAGCCACCGAAGTCACAGTAGCTGCTGCCAGTTTGCTGAGGCTGTTTCATTATTAGCCGGGGGACAGAGAGCCAGCAGCACCAGAGGGGCATTTCAACAAGCGGAAAAGCATCATTACTTTGCAGAGAACTGCAGGCGTCAGTAACCAGCGATCTCTGGGGTGAGGCTCGTTTCAGCCCCGATCCGTCTCTCCTTTCACAGTCACAGTGGGCTGCGAGGGCCCGCGGAATTCCATCGAGGAAAACAAGAATGCAGCCACAGCCACCCCTCCTTCCGGAGCCGTCACCCATTTTAGTCACTTCTCCATGGCCCGGTCACTTTAAAGGTTCACAGGTGTCTTCCCCGTGATTCTTTCCACCCGCCATCCCGCTGGGATGAAGGTCAGTGTTCCAAAAGCCTGGGGAGACGGTGAGCTCTCCAAGGCGACCCTTGCTGACTCTGAGGTTCCTGTTCTCGGGCTCAGCCACTGAACGGAGGAGCCCCCGCTCCAAGCCCTTTGAAGTCCATCACTTACTAGCAAAGTCCGGGTATTGGAGCGACTCCAGGAGGAAAACACAGCGCTGCCTTCCGAACAAAGAGCAGAACAAGAACCACGCTGTAACCTTGGAGAGCAAATGATTGACTGTTTCCACCCAGAAACACACACATAAAAAATGTACACGCCTCGAAACCAAACGTAACGCCTGTTAATTCTTTTCTTCCAGAAGCTTTCTCGTCAAGGAACCTGACATCGCACAGCAGTTCAGGAGCAGCTCGGCCAGAGCCAAGGCGTCATTCCTCATTCCAGACCCAAGTCTCTTTGTTCTGCTCAGTTTTCCGTACACAAACCCTTTCTGATGGGCCAGACAGGCAGTGAGTTTTGCCTATCTCAACGCAGCAGTTTGGACTCCAGGAGTTTACTGGTTTAACTGGCTGCCTGAAGAGCTGCTCCCCCGCCTCAGTGGTCCCCCAGGGAGCACCGGGTTTGGATGCCGAGTGGGGCCGGCAGAGCCATCCTGCTTCTTCAAGAAGATGCAGGTGGCACCCCGACTTCTTGGAAAGGCTGCTTCGGGGTGGAGATGAGGGCAGGTGACGAGGACAGGCTGCCAAGTGCCCTGGCAGGTCCTCCCACAGGACGAAACCCAAGCGGACAGCACATCCCACATCACTCCAATTTTTTCAAATAAAGTTCTGAAGGGCCCCAGAGAAGTCTGGCTTTAAGGTCTTTCCTGCTGTAGCAAGAGTTTCCTTCCCAGACCATAGCCTCTAACACCTTAACACAGACAGAAATTTAATACAGTTTAAAAGCAGACTTTCTTTCCATGTGTGGTTCCCACCCCTCCCCCTGAGGGGTCACACTAGCAGTTCGGTCCTAAAACCACCCCAGTAACAGGCTGGACAAAGAAAGAGAAAAGGTACCGTAGTTGGAGAGGATGTACAATTCCTCCTGACCTGGACGGTGGACGCTTGCTCCTTTCCTGGTTTCCCTGAACGGGAGAGCGGATTCTTGAAAAAGGAGCCCAGTGCGCCGGGTGGCTCCTTCCAGATGCTAGCTGAAAGCTAGCAAAAAAAAAAAGGGAAGCGGGAGCCCTAATGGGACTAAAGGACACTGCAAACACTTTGGAGCTGCCAAGCCTTTTCAATAACACCACTGGGGGAATGTAAACGAAGCTGGTCGCTGCAGGCCAGCTAAATAAAGGACAAAGGCAGGAAGTGTCTGTCCCTCCCTCTCCCACAACACCAGGCTCTGCCACTTGGGGGGAGCCTCTCGGTGGCTTCCACGTGGCCCCCAGAGCAACAGCGGAGGTGAAGTCTGTCCTGGAATTTCAGCAGCAAGGACTCACTCCGCCGTCTGCCTGGCTCCAGGCTGTTGTGGACTGCCTCTGAGCAAGACCACTCCAGGCCGGCTTCCCAGCCCACTCCACCGGAGCCGCTGCGGCTGGGCGCAGGGGCGCCTCCACCTGGACCTGGGCTGCAGGCTGGCCGACGGGGGCTGGGCCACCCCGTGTCCGATTTCCAGTTCACTGACTCACGGAGCCGAGTTAAGTCACTGGCAAAATTCCAGCGTCGGCTCTGTCCGGCTCCAGGCCGTATCAAGCAAGACAGAACACATTGGAGATGGACCCTCCCAACCCCTCCACCTTGGTTGATTTAATCAGCCTATTCCCTTCCTGTTTCATTCGCCCCAGGTCACCAGCGCAAACTCACGAAGCAGCAGCAGTGCCGCTCACACCGACATCCCTGGATGCTACCTGATCCCAACAATCCCGCGACTGATTGGAAAGAGACCTGGCTCATCTGCGCCGAGGCCTCTCACCCCCGCTGCTGGCTCGGCCACGGAAGCTTTCTGATCGCTCCCTCCCTCCCCCTCCTTTCCAGCAGTTGTGTGAAGCGAGACAAAGTGGACGTCAGTTCTCAGTAAACAACATCTCATTATTATGACTCGTTTACAGCCAAACTGGCTGAAGTAGGAGAAAATGACTCACCCCTGGGGACCTGTCAGGTCGAGGCCAGTCCTGTCACCTTTTCTCCCAGCTCCTTCCTTGAGTGGCTCCGGCGACGGCAGGTCCTCTCCTTTGAATGCTCTCGTCTTTACTAAGAGGTAAAAGCCAGTGGGGCGGTCCTGCGTCTGGATCCAGGGAAGGTCTCTGAATACTTCCATAATTATCTTTGTATTACCCTGGATTTTACAAGTTGGACCAAAAAACTCTATTCCAGGCTCTGGCTTGACAATTCAAATTACATGAATTTAAAATTATTTTTCTTTGAGCCTCTGGTATCACTGATCAGCACTGATTTTCTCTCTGTCATTAGCCAAACTTCTACCAGTTTTAAGATCGTGAAAACTCTTCATGGAAAAGAGAAACTAGTTTGTGGGAAGGAAAAAAATCCGAAGCAAAGAACTGAAGTCCCAGCCCCCTTCCTCAGTAACCGTGCTTTTAAATGTGCACAATAACCACGGATAATCAAAAAATTTTTCTTCTTTTTCTTAAGCATGGTGCTCAGGGGTGAAACAGTACAGGAGTGGCCTGTAACTGGGGCTAATTTCCAGGGGACGTCCATCCCTTTCGTCCTTGGAAAACGGACGTCTTACAGAAGCTCTGGCCGCAGCCACCATCCAGAAGGTCTGCCGATGCCCACCACAGCCGAGGTGTGGATGCCTCCCTGGGGCAACGAATGTGCCCCGGACACAGGCAGGCAGCTCTGCTGTAAGAAATTCCTCCTGCCCTCGGGCGGGAGACCACCCCTCTCACCTCCGACCCGACGCCCTCGTTCCATCCCTCGGGCCACCAAGAATCAGCCTGCTGCTTCTCCAGGTCCCTCTGGGTGACAGCTTCTCCTGGGCATGACTCAGGCCTCGGGGCTGGTGCACTCTGCCTGCCTGCAACAGGGCTGAGAAGGGAGGGGGGCGACCCCCGTCATTCTCTTTCGACACCTTAAAAATATGTGTATTTCAACCTCCTCATCTGAGAAATCTCACGTGGTAAGTAGTCACACCAAGCAGACAGATGCGGTGACTTCACACGTACAATGGAGAAGTCCCATAAGGGATATCAACCCTTAACCCTAAAGACACCAGGGACGGGACACCATGGCAGGGGTACCTGTCAGCCTGTGAGCCCTGGGGTGCACAGCTCCCCTCCAGGGCTCCCTGGCCGTCACTGAAGGCCTCTGCGGACGCGGCTGGCTTTACCTGGGGGTTTAGTCTGGCAGCTCGCAGATACAGACTACACCACAGATACACAGATTAAGGAATACACGTTCTAAACACTTGAACACACTGTGTCCAGAGACCCCAAGTCCAGAATTCGTGTCCAGGCAGTCTGTGAGACGTGCCGTCGGGACACCCTGGCTGGGGACACGGGATGTTACACTGGGAGGAAGGACAGCCAGTACGAAGTGCATCACCAAGCAAGCAGCCAGTGTCGGCGACTGGGAAGGGAACCCTGACAGCCAGTGTAGACCACTCCTCAGACCGTCCCAACCGAGGGACCAGGGAGCTGGGGTCCTTGTCCAGCTCCCCCCAGGGAATGGTTGAGAGCCGCCCCCAGGCGGCCGTGGTCCACCAGCACCTCCGGCGCACCCCTGGCGAAGGGAGAATGGGCTCTGGGGCCAAAGAGAGCCCTCCGGCCAAGCTGGCGGGTGGAGCCAGGCCGCATGCAGGGGAACGCCAGCACCCACGGGGCACGGGATGGGCGTGCTACCCCCGGCAACTCAACACAGCCGGGCGTTCTGCGTAAAACGCGGACGGCTAGCGTCGCGGTGAGCGGGAGCGGCCGTTCCAGCAGGGGCGCTGCGGGCTGCTCTCCCGCTCCCCTCAGCTGGGATGTAAGCGCTTCCGTTCTCCAGCGCCCCCGGATCTGCTCTCCTCACCCAGGTGCCCCGCCCTCTCAACTGATGGCACGAAGCCGCGGTGTCATAACTGGCCCAAGCTAGTAATTCACCGGCTGTTCTCAGACGAAGCAGAATCTTCTGCTCAAAATTCTTGGTTGAGAGGCGCAGGGCAGGTGCTTATGCATAAGAGCTGGGTTGTGAGCCCTAAGCCAGCTTAGTTTTTGAGGAGCAGATACCCTGAGTGAGCGGCTATGGGAGCCCCGGCTCACAGGTGCGGAGGAGGGGAGAACGCCCACGCGCCACTGAGAGTCTGAGTCTTGGCCTCGGGGTGATGGCTGTAACGTCCCACCAGGCCTGGCAGCGCCACGATTCAGAGCGTCTTGTGTCCTGACAGTAAGTGTCCCCTTTTCTTGACTAGTTTGGGCAGATTTATGTTCCTTTCCATCAAATATGCCTGGACCAGAACGGCTTCAGAAAGATGAGCATGAGTTCTCCGAAACAGGTGGAATATCAGCTATTCATGATCAGCTTAGCAAATGTTCAAAGATCTTGGCATAAAGTAGAGCACACGCTGATAAAGAAAAAGCCCCATCGAGCCAGAACAGAACCTGCAGATGCCACCTGTGCGGGGCATTTCCTAGATGAACCAAGAGAGGGAGGCCTCTGGACCACCCAAGGGAAGATGCTTCAGCTGAGGGTGAGGTGGGCAAGACCAAGGCACGTTTCCACCCCTTCCAACACCACCCAGGGGTGCGGGGTGGGGCTCAGCTGCATGTGTTTACCTCTCTTTTTTTGTTTTAAATTTAAGTTTCTGACTTGAATGAAATGGAATTTTCTGATCAGAGTTTTGGACTGTTGTAAAGATGTTTTTACCCTCTTTTTTAATTAATTAATTAATTAATTAATTAATTAATTAATTGAAGTATAGTCAGTTTACAATATTGTATCAGTTTCTGGTGCACAGCACGTTTTGGTCATACATATACATACATACACTCTTTTTCATATTTTTTTCATTATAGGTCACTACAAGGTATTGAATACAGTTCCTTGTGCTGTACAGAAGGACCTTGTTGTTCATCTGTTTTATACGTACTAATGTGTATCTGCAAATCTCAAACTCCCAATTTATCCCTTCCCATTCCCTTTTCCCCCTGGCAACCATAAGTTTGTTCTCTATGTCTGTGAGTCTGTATCTGTTTTGTAAATAAGTTCACTTGTGTCTGTTTTTTAGATTCCACATATAAGTGATAATACATGGTATTTTTCTTTACCTTTGTGGCTTAACTTCACTTAGAATGACAGTCGCTGGATCCATCCACATTGCTGCAAATGGCATTATTCATTATTCTTTTTTATGGCCGAGTAGTATTCCATTGTATATATGTATACCACAACTCCTTTAATCCAGTCATCTGTCAATGGACATTTAGGTTTTTGCTTCCGTGTCTTGGCTGTTGTAAATAGTGCTGCTGTGAATGCTGGGGTGCAGGTGTCTTTTCAAATTAGAGTTCCCTCCAGATACATGCCCAGGAGTGGGATTGCTGGAACATATGGTAAGTCTATTTTTAGCTTTTTAAAGGAATTTCCAAACTGTTTTCCATAGTGGCTGCACTCACTACATTCCCACCAGCAGTGTAGGACACAATCTCCAGCATTTTCTCCACACCCTGTCCAGCATTTGTCATTTGTGGACTTTTTAATGATGGCCTTTCTGACTTGTGTGTCCTGTTATTTTAATGTGGCCTTTATGTCCTCAAGGAAGTTTTAACTCAGTGCTTAATAAACACAAATATTTCACTTGGAATCATACCAATATTGGTCATTTTCACGGAGAAAATATTCTCTGGAGCCAACTCCATTAAGCCATCTTAATTCCTTGGTCAGTTCCTTCTACAGTATAGATAACAGTTTAAAACCTTCTTCTGTCTTATTTTAATTTTGTACTTTTCTTCTTTTCTAATATAAGAATGTAAAGCTTTTGAATATTCTATGTTTTATGCCAAAAGTTTTATAGTTTTAGCTTTAATGTACAGATCTACGATCCATCTCAAATTAATTTTGAGGTAGGGATTTTAGAGTCTTTATTTTTCCATATGGATACCCATTTAATTTTAAATTTATGGAAAGTAGGTTTTAGGGATAAATTCTATTCCTTGTAAACTTTATATCAGAGACATGATCGATCGAACAGGCTTCTGCCTTCTGGTCGAGCGCCGGCCTGCAAGGCAGCTGTGGTGGTTTTCATTATCTCTATGAAGTTCCAATTTTCCTGGGTTAAATTCTGAATATATATTTTGCAAGATTACTTGATGCTTCTGTAAAATGTTAACCAATAACAAATATGACTGTGCAGTTTAGGCTGTTGTCAGGTTTTCTTCTACCAGCATGAAGTATCTCTCAGACCAAGAATTTTCCTTCCCCCTTCCTTTTTAAAAACTGCAGTATAGTTGATTTACAATGTTGTGTCAGTTTCTGGTGTACAGCAGAGTGATTCAGTCAAACATATATGTAAATTCTTTTCCAGATTCTTTTCCATCATACATTAGTACAAGATAGTGACTATAGTCCCCTGCGCTGTAGGGTAGGACCCTGTTGTTTATCTATCATAGGAGTTTGTGTCTGCAAATCCCAAACTCCCAATTTATCCCTCCCTTCCCCCTTCCCCCTCCACTGGTAACCCTAAATTTGTTTCCTATCAGATCAAGTATTTTTCACTTTCAAAAACTACAAACAAATGTAATTCATCAGGTTGGGATCGGCTTGGATGGATCACAAATTGTGTTCAGTGCAGCTTTACCTATTTCATTATGAATTGACGGTAACACTGGATTATTCTGTATTTCTTAGAACATCAGTGAGAAAAGGGCCTCTGGGAATGCTCTAGGGATATGCCAGCAACGGGCTGATACAATTCTGAACCCAATACCCTTCATCCTCGTAATATGTTTTGGTTGGTCATTAGTTGATGAAAGTGTAAAGGACACACACCAAGTCTAAAGGGCCACAGAAAAATGTTCTCTTTAAGAGAGTGTTCTTACCAAAATAAAATAAGATAAAGTGAAATAAAATAAAATCATCCTAGGTTACAATGTCATGACAGCCACCTCTCTGGAGGGAAGAAGAGGGCCACCATCCCTATGTAATAATCCAGGGCACACACTGCCCGGAACCTCATGCGCTGATTTGCTTCTTTCTCCCTCATTTTGATCCTGCGTGCGCTGCTGCCTTTCCCTCTTCCCGCTTCACCTTTAGAATACTTCGCCCCCCCGTTAATCAGTGCCGTGCTGGAAAATGCTTAACCGCTGGCTTTCTGGGGAATAAAAGCCCCACGTTTTAGCATTCACCTACTTTGTCGGATGAATACTCCCATTGTGGCCAATGTCAACCCACTGAAGTGACATCGATGGGCTTACAGAATTCACGAGAATGTAACAGTCAGCTCCGGTGAGCGGGGAGAAGGGACTCCAGCCCCTGCCGCACCCACCGCCGCGGCTCTAAACCACAGGTCTGTGCCGAGGCCGCTCAGATCGGATCCTGCGTACACTGCAGCGACACCAGACAGCAAAGGGAGGAAGCCGGATCTGCAGACTGAAGCCAGTGCTTCATCCGTGAAACCACATCATCTGCCCCGAGTAAGACGTGAACCCTTTCCAGCTGTCCTCTTGACCAAGTTAAACGGTGCCATCAGGAGACCTGAAGGAAGCCAGATGCTCAGTCCAGAAGGTTCCACGTCTTTAGAGGATGACGAGAACAAGAAAAGAGCTTCCTCTAGCCAACCGGACACTGGGGTCCATGTGCCTTACTCAGACTAGCCTCTCCAGGACCTTACACAGTGCCTGGCACGGATGTGCTCAATAAATGCTCACTGGAAAAGTAAGTGCGTGAGATTTTACAGAGACGTCATCGAGGCTGAAAGGAGGGGTTTTCAGGGAATGGCTGCATCAAAAGCATGAGGAAGAACCACGGCATCAGGAATGCCCAGGTAACCTCAAGTGCCAGCAACACGCAATCCACCCTGTCGACCCACACGGCACAATGGAAAGGCCCCCCACCCCCTTGAGACACGGGGACGTTGGTTTGCGGAGTCCACATGTTCTGCCTGTGGCTGGGTTTTTCCTGCAGAGTCTGGGATCAGGAGTCTTCTCTTCTCTCTAGAACCTAACGACCCACTCATCTCACCACGTCCTCAACCAGTCATGTTTCCCAGCTCTTTCGTTTCTGCACAAGTCAGAATTCTCGGAAGGTCTCCTGGTGTGTGTCCAAGCCAGCACATCTTCGCTGGAAACCACAAGACAAAAGAAATCCGCAGAACAGACGCCAAACTCCCAACGAAATAGAGCAGGCCGGGAAGGGGGGCTTCTCCGTGTGTTCACACGTGTACTTGCATCACGGGTGACGGGGATCAGAGCCTCAAAGTCCCCGTTCTTGCTCTTAGAAAGTGGGTTGGAGAGCAGCTGGCCCTCCTTCTAAGCCTGCAGACTCCATGTGGGGCACTCAGTGACAGCCCGCCGTCCAACACCGAAGTAACTAAACACCTTCTACACAGAGTGAGTGCGCACCGCCAGTATTAGCACCGCCCACAGCCAGCGTCCGTGTGATCAAGGGGGATGCGTACGGAATACACAGTGGCTCTCCAAAACAATTTTTTATTTTCTCTGTCTACAAAAGAGTCGTGGAAGCCCACCCAGCTCAGCAGAGATCTCAGTGATGCCTGCTGCCTTCACCGAGAAGGTGGTTTTTGTCTGAAACCGAGCCTCTGAACTCCGGGCGGGTTGAACGGTCTCGCTCGGCTGGGCAAGGGCGTTCGTATCTTCTGCTGGGAGAGACAAGCACATTCGAGCGGGCGTTGCACAAACCCAGTTTCACATCACTCAGTTTCGTACAGGCTACAACTACAAACTGCCAGGCTCTGCAGGCTCTCGGTGGAGCACAGGGCCTTCCTCCCCGGGGCCCTCCCCCTCCTGTCCTCTAGGGCGGCGTCTGACCCGCTCTCAGGGCCGGGAGGCCGACGGGGCAGGCGAGGTGGAGGGAGGGGAGGCACCAGGCTCCCCGGGCTCCATCGGGAGGATTCGGGGGTGACGACAAACTCACGTCAGAAGGAGACTGCTCTGGGTCATAATGAAAGCCTTGGGGTCAGACTTCTGGAAAAAGGAGCCAAGGACACAGGGGACAGACCCGCGGTGGCCAGTCCAAGTGGACCGTGGAGACAGCGTGCCACGGGCCCTGCCTGGGCTCTCACGCCTCCCAGGGGGATGCTGGGTGGGCACCACATCCAAGGCCTGGGGCCAGAGGACACGTCGGGGTTCATACACTTTATGCCTGAACTTTGTTAAGTGAACCATCAGGACTACAAGGTGTTATTTGACACGAGTTCTACTCTCTGCCATGACAGACAGACCTCGATAAGGACCTGGAAAGCCCGCTTCAGTTCAGAATTTCCAGACTCTTCAGTGACGTGTGCTGGATGCAGGGACGTGGGGCCATGCCGCACCTACCCCACGGCGGTCACCCTTCTCTTCCCTCGACAGCTCTGTGGACACCCCAGCCTTCCTGTCTAAGCACCTCACATTCCCTGCCAAGCCCTCCAGTCTACAGTGGAGGCGGGGGGGCTGTATTAACTACATCTCCAGAAGCAGAGCCAGCCCTCGGGGCTTGGGGAAGAGCCCGGCCGGGCAGCGCAAGCGGGCGTGGGGCATGAGGGCAGGGGATCTGAGAGCTGTGTGTCTGCAGCGAGAGGCGGAGGAGGATGTCGGCTCTGGCTGGCACATCCTTGGACCCCTTGGACTTCTCCTGCCATGACGGGGGATGAGGCTGGAGGGGGCTAAACACACAGAGCAGAGGGCCCTCCCGCCTGCTCTTAGGGCACTCCTGGGGAGAAGGCTGGGTCATCCAACAGCCCCTGAAAGAATGGACACAGGTTTCACTACTGCTCCTGGCCTTCTCGCACCCCGACCCCATCCTGGTTTGCAGAAGTAAAGGTTCAGTCCTGGTTACAGCCTTGTGGCCCTTGGAGAAAACAGACAGGCTTGGATTCAACAGCCCTAAGGCACCCTAATCTCTCTCTAGCTTTTAATTCCAGTCCCAGAGGTCACACTCCCTCCTTAGAAGCATCCGGGCCTCTGTGCCCCGTCTCCACCTCCTTTGGCCAACAGGACAGCTCCTTCACTGTGGGTCCACCAGCTCGGACTCCTCTCCAACCCCGTCTTAATCCTAAACCAGCTGCCTTTCCCCTCCCAGCATCCTCACCTCGGAGGTCACAACACACCCAGCCCTGTGTCTAGGATCAAGGCCCCCCGCGTGCACTGGCCTGGGGCTGGGGGGGTTTCTGACCCCCTACAATCAGCTTCTATTGACCTCATGTTACCACACAGAGTGGGAACCCGGGTGGCAGGCCTGAGCCTCCGCTCAGAGCTGCTCGTCTCGGGAAAACAAGGCCTCCCCGTCTCTGGGCGCCGTAGCGGGTCCCCAGCAAAGGGGCAGATTAGAGCTTAAAGCTCTCCTCTTCCTGAAGACCTGGCCCCCTTGCTTCTCTCCAGAAGGTGGAAAGGGTTTTCGTGAAAGCCAGGAAAGGGAGTTGAGTTCACACCTGCTTCAGTGCTGGGCTAAACCATCCCTCCCACAGTCCCCTCTGGCCCAACCCAAATGGGGGTGGGGGCCCAGGCACAACAGAGCTACGGCCCCACCGCAGGGGGCGATGACCGGGCTGGCGCGTGGCACGTCTCATCACAGAGCGCTTGCACCCGTGAACCCCGCTGCGCCCGCCTGCTAGGACACCGGGCAGCACTCGGCCCCTCCGCCTACGAACACGAGGCTCCCCCACGGCCCGAAGCCTCTCGGCGGACCCTGTTCTCCGGGCATGGTGGCTTCCGGCTCCCCATTTCTGATTATTTTCTGTCCTTTATTATTTCACGGAGGTGGATGGAGACAGCAGGCAGAAGCCAGGTCGCTCAGCTGGCGGCTCGTGCGTCACTTCTGGATCGCGGCTATTTGTTTTGTCTGCTTCCAATTCAGGAAAAAACAAAACAAAACCAAAAACAAACACAAAACCAAACTAAGGCTTCGTAGAGTCCTCTTCTCCTTTTCTCACCTCCTTTTCTGAACTAGAGAAATGTCTGTCTCCAAAAAGTAGGCCAAGAAGCCCTCCGTTTTGCTTTCTGTCCCTGAAGCAGGCTGGGACGCTGCCTTTCCACTTAACATTCCGTTCCTCTGAAGTCCCGGCTCCCCCCGTTAACGACAACCCCAGGCTTGAATCCGTGGAGGGAGGGGCCCCTGCTCCTCCCTCACTTCACTCTGCACATCAGCCACTCCCGGTGCGGAGAGTCTCCCGTCCAAACGTCTCTCACCTTCCTCCCCATCCACTCAGGCCTTGGACCACGGCGCCCTTAATGGTTTCAGCAGCTCCCTATCGTCTGTGGTCCGTTCGGCCTGTGTCTGCTCCCCTCCACCCGCAGGCCGCCCCCAAGGGGCAGACCTTTCCAGCGCTCCGCTGCTAGCTGCTGCCTTGCACTGTGCACAACCGTTTTTAAAGAGTCTAATGTCCATACTCCCTCGCTGGGTACCCAGGCCCCTTTCTGATCCGTTTCCAACCCCGTCTCCCGACCTCAGCAGTGGTGTGTGTGCAGCCGGGCCCAGCCCCCTCCAGAATGGCGCCCCCACAAGAGCAGAGACGGAGAACGTTCCTGACCACCCCCAGCCCAGCCCGGTTCTTGTGCCGTGCTTTCACACCTGACATTGCCCAGGGTCACTCCCGGCTGAAAGCAGCCCTTTCGCCCTTTCCTGCTGGCCCATTTCTGTCCCCCTCGAACCTCAAAAGAACCTGATCACAGGAATGAGATCGCTGAGCAACTGAAACTAGCTCCTGATTTATGCTCCTCAGTGCACCCCCGCCTCGTCTAACCTGCTCATTCTTTTCCTAGATTAAAAGGAAGAATGAAGAATTAAGCAGTTAAAGAATGATTAACTCTCTACCCCCAAGAGCCCCCTTAGCAATCCTGCAGGCAGATCACAGGAGGCAAGAGATCATCTGGAGAGAGTCAGCCATTCTGCACCCAGTGGAGAGAAGGATGCAGACCCAGCGCCCTGCTCTGACGACTCACTCAGATTCTGCCCCTCGCCCCGCCACGGTCATGGCTGAGCAGAATCTCTGGAGATGGTCTCTGGATAGAAGACTGCCATATCCCCAGACTGCCAGCTTTTCTGATTCAAGAACATTTCCCTCCTTCTGACACTTGTCTCTTGAATTATTGGCTTTTGAGCAGCGAGCAGCCAAACCCGAGTTCGATAACGCAGCCACACCACGTACGTGGACCAGCGAGTTGCAAGAAGGCTGAGCCGGAGCCGCGGGCAGGTGAGATTCTGAAGGCGCATGCG